GAGGGCGAGCCCGGCCTCCCCTCGGACCACACAAAAAAAAGCAAGCAGCCTGCCTCTGCAGCAGACGCGCCACCAAGGCTTCCAAGCCCCATCTTACAGGAGAGCACAGCTCCAAAACCGTTGTGTTGCCATAAAGGTGGAAGATCATCTCCCAGCGGCGGCAGCAGCCTCCGCAGCAGCGGCTTGCGGGTAAGTGGGGTTCCACATTGCACCTCTGCAGGCAGGGCCGCCGGCCGCTGACGGCATCGCTCTTACCCGGGCACAGCGAGGCCCATCCTCGGTCTCCTCATCCCATTTGTACAACTGGCTTCCAACCTGGAGCCTTCCAAACGCTGTAGACCCATGCCTGTTGAAACGAACAGGCAAGCAGGCAATGCTGAGGACTCTCAACATGTAACAAAGAAATAATAATTTCTGGGCTAAGTGAAATGGATGCCACGTTACCTTACTGGAATTTGATAATGCCTCCCACACTTACTCTTTCATGGAAAAAAATGTAAGAGTCCGAAACTTCAGAAGGCTTTCTGCAATAAAATGATGAACACACGGCCATTGGCTCAAAGGTTTGACTTCAAATGAGTGAGATCAAAATTAAGTTTTCATTAGAAAGCAGGTCTTAGTCAGGACCTAGGGAAAGGATCCAAGCAAAGCAGTTAAAAAAAAAAAAAAAAAAATTAACAATAGCGGGGTGTAAAAAAGACAGAGGAATAAATTATAGAAGTTTTTCTATCTAAAGACCAATTACAGCTAATTTGCAGAATTATGTGCATTATCTTCTCATCTGTAATGACGCAGGTCTTTTTAAAATCACTGGCAACCAAATCCCAAAGGTATTGGCTTGGCTTTTGCAGTACACCCGATGACAAACCTAGCCCAACACATGAGTCCTTTGGGATTCTTTTATCTAGCAAATGGCAGCCGCGTATTCCCTTTCGCTTCAGGTGAGCTACAGCAAGCACCAGAACTCTTTGAGGGCGTGCCACTCAAACGTCCCTAGAGGGCAGACATGCCTTTCTTCCATGCTATCACCCCTGTGCATCTGGAGTGCATTCGAACCAGGGGTACTTTTTTCCACCCAGATGCCCATGGATGTTCCTCCATCTGGTTTGTTAAGAAAAATAAGAACATGCAAGAATTGCCATTTTATCCTTTACAATAGTTAATATCAAATATCTCAAAGCACACAGGATCTCTGCAAGTAGGCACATACGGGAGATCGCGACTCAGGAATGTCTTAATTCCTACTTGACATTGGCTTACTTCATAACACAGTGTTAGGCTTTATTCTTTCCAAATCCATTTACAGTGAGTGCCTTGAACGAGAAGATGCAGGTTTTAGAACAAAGTTACTAAACTGCTCCCTCTCAGTCAATAATGAAATTAATGTCCTTTACTAAGAGGCGCACAGTCCAAAATTTTCACTTAACAGACAAGCAAATTAAAAATTGTTTCTCAGTTCGGTTCCTAGTCCTTCCCCGGCAGGAGCTTACACATCTTCCATACATCACTTGTTCGCATGTTTCCTCTTACCCAGTCCGCCCTAAGGGAAATAACCACAGTACACACTTTTCACAAAGAGCCCGGTTAGAAAGTACACGCAGATGACAACTTTTGCTTTGCAAGCCTCTCGGCCACTTCACGGACCACAGCACGGCTGAGCCTGCCAGCCCCGTATCTGGCTTTATCTGATGTGCAGAGCGCCTCAAGCGCCAGCAGTAGTTTTACATCAAAACCAAGCACTGCAAGTATCATCACGTTCCAGACTCCCTTTTTACAAGGAGTCACATGGAAAAGATGTGGGACAATGGGTACAGGTTATTCCTGGGGAGATTCCAGTTGGACGCAAGAGGGAAATTTTTCAGAGTGAGAGCAATCAGCCATTGGAATAACCTCTCCTGGGAAGCAGTGGATTCTCCAGCTTTGGACTCTTTTAAGATTCAGCTGGACCCGGTGCTGGGCCATCTTGTCTAGACCGTGCTTTTGCCAAGAAATGTCAGGCCAGATGATCCTTGAGGTCTCTTCCAACCTGGATTCTATGATTCTATGAAGTGGCAGCATTTTGTGTCCAGTAATACTGTGTCTCAGGCAAAAGCTCAGCAAACCATGTTCCTTTTCATCTGTGTGGACCAAGCGTCATTTCCATGCCTAACCGAGAAACTGGAATGGAGGAACAAAGTGTGTAGGTGGGGATGAAGCTAGCTTAAACTATGAGTTTTCCTGATACGCTCCTTGAGTCAGGCAGCTGGGTGAAATGGAACTCGTCTGTTTGTGTGGTCTCACGCATACACAGCAGTCACTTCAGTCTTACAAAGTTATTTTTATTTAGCAATTGCATCTTCAACAGTTATTCCATTATTAAATTTTTCTTAAATAAAAATTCTGCTTTCCATAAAAAAAAGCTATAATTAACAAAAGTCACTTCCTCTTTTCACCTCATTTTCTGAAATTATGTAGAAGGAACAGCATGCTTAGAAGAGCCAGATTCTTCCTCATTTTCACGGAGACGCTTCCTTGTTGTGGTTGGCTAAAAGAGAGATACAGCAGGATGGCTATGTGGAGTCAGGTGAGACCAAGCCTGTTTGGCTGGCTACAGAATTACAGATGTTGGATAAAGTCTTTCTGCGGCCGAAAAAGCAGCATGACTAACAAACGTTTCTCTACCAAGATTGTATTTGATCCTTCTCATGTAAGACACTGCTCCCAGCTTTATCTTCCACTGCTGTTTAAAATTCTTCCTAATTAGCACCTGGTAATGATTGTCCCAATACCATATAAACTTTCACTAACGTGAGAATTTCTTCTTGAACACCAAACACTCGTGACTTGAATCCACCAAAGCATGCATGTTCAGCGATTTAATTTTAAATATGTGATTAATCCTTTAAAGCCTAGGTGACTGTTTCTACACATTTGAACAAAGCATCTCACCAAAGCATAAAAGCCCATTGCTTCTATTCAGAAAGCAGAGATAATCAGCAGACTGCTACATACAGGCAAAACGCGCATTTCTCCAAGTTCCCAAAATTAATTGATTTTCTTATTATGGATTACTTTGAAATCTAGTTTCTCTATGCATCAAGTATTAATCTTCAAATAATCTGCTACACATACCATTTTTGATGTTTGCGGTGGATTCATGTTGCCACGTGTCTGAGCAAGTAGCTGTTGAAATGTACTCTTCATATCCTCATCCTGTGAAAAAAAGCAGTAATTAAGTAGTACATGAAATATTTAAGGGAAAAGTGTTGCAGCTGGCTTTCTTTACCTGTCTGCGGCAACAACTCCCGTTCGAGGTGAGACGGCACGAGAGCTACACACCCACCGCCCCTGGGCCACTGAGACACAGACACCAATATGAGGGTATCACAAATGGCATTTATTAACTCTCTTTCACTGCTTTTATATGCAAACTACTTCGTTCCCGCCTTTGCAGTTACATCATAAGCTCTATCACGGGGGGGTCAGTCCCTATCCTTTCCGTACATCGCGAAATCTTCCGGTCGCCAATCCCTACAGAAAAGCCTACGTTTTGGCTAATTAAATGGATTAACAATTAAAGAATGAATGAATAAAGGAGAAAAGGAGGTTCCCCCACTTCCCCCCAGATAAACACCTTAATATGGCTTCACCAAGGGCAAGTCCTGCCTGATCAATCTAGTGGCCTTCTCTGATGGAGTGACTGTATCAGGGACAGGGGAAGAGCTATGGATGTCATCTATCTGGACTTCTTTAAGGCTTTTGACACAGTCCCCCACAACATCCTTCTCTCTAAATTGGAGAGATACAGATTCGATGGATGGACTATTCAACGGATAAAGAATTGGCTGGATATTCGCATCCAGAGAGTAGCGGTCAACGGCTCAATGTCCAGATGGAGATCAGTGATGAGTGATGTTCCTCGGTGGTCTGAATTGGGACCAGTACTGTTTACTATCTTCATCAACAACATAGGCAGCAAGATCGAGTGCACCCTCAGCAAGTTTCCAGATGACACCAAGCTGAGTGGTACGGTTGACACACCTGAGGGACGGGATGCCAATCAGCAGGACCTGGACAAGCTCAAGAAGTGGGCCCATGTGAACCTCATGAGGTTCAACAAGGCCGAGTGCAAGGGCCTGCACCTGCATTGGGGCATTCCCCAGTATCAAACAGGCTGAGAGATGAAGGAATTGAGAGCAGCCCTGTGGAGAAGGCCTTGGGGGTACTGGTGGATGAAAACTGGACATGAGCCAGCAACATGCACTCACAGCCCAGAAGGCCAACCGTCTCCTGGACTGCATCAAAAGCAGCGTGGCCAGCAGCTCGAGGGAGGTGATTCTGCCCCTCCTCTCTGCTCTGGCAAGATCCCCCCCGCAGTACTGCATCCAGCTCTGAAGCCCTCGGCACAGGAAAGACATGGACCTGTTGGAGCAGGTCCAGAGGCGGGCCACAAAAATGACCAGAGGGATAGAACAGCTCTCCTATGAGGACAGGCTGAGAGTTGGGGTTGTTTAGCCTGAAGAAGGGAAGGCTCCAAGGAGACCTTATTGCAGCCTTTCAATACTTATAGGGGGCTTATAAGAAAGATGGGGACAGACTTTTCAATAGGGCCTGCTGCAATAGGAGAAGGGGTGGTGTTTTTAAACTAGGAGGGTAGATTTAGACTAGATATAAGGAAGAAATTTTTTACCATGAGGGTGGTGAAGCACTGGAACAGGTTGCCCAGAGAGATGGTAGATGCCCCATCCCAGGAAGCAGTAAAGGTCAGGCTGGATGGGTGTCTGAGCAACCTGATCTAGTGAAAGATGTCCCTGCTCATTGCCGGGGGAAAGCTAGATGACCTTTAAAGGTCCCTTCCAACCCAAACCATTCTATGATTCTGATATGCCCCACAGCAGAATTTTGAGCAGGTTGCTTATGTACAGTGCTGGTAAGAAAAAATAGTTCTATTTCATTCTACAAAGAAAGTTTCCCCTACTGCTTATCTAGTACTAGTCAAGCTAAAACCGAACTTGCATCAACAAAGTACAACACCACTGAAAGAACAGAACATACAGGCTAGGAGTTCATGCGAGTAATTCATTAGCCTTGTCAGAAGAGGCCTCATCTGGACTTGGGGCCTGCTTTCACCAAACCAGAGTTAATCACCCTTGAAAAACAAGTATTTTTCCTTACAGTCTTACATTCTGTTCTCATAATGACTTCCCTTTTCCAACAGGATATTTTCATTTCCACTAGCTCAGCTTCATCAGCATCCCAAATTTGGGTAGTTCTCATTACCTCCCCCCCAAAGCAAACCTGTTGTACACAGTAGGTAGAGAAGAACCAGCTAAAACACCCTTACCCTATAAAAACAAACAAACCACCCCAAAAAACCCCAAACGCACATACCAAACTTTCAAACAAAATGTTATCTTAAAAAGCATCCCACAGCTATCCTTAACATAAGCACGTCCATAGAACATATTCAAGGTTGTAAATTGAAATACTTGGAAAGCAAATATTCAGAATTTGGGCAAGCACTTCACTGAAGTTTCCCTTTTGAAAACCCAAATGATTACCAAATGTTGTATTGTTGATGGAGTATTCGTGTCTCTACAGAAGCTCACTGGATAGGACAGTTCATTCTCTATTTACCCAAAGTGGTCAGCCAGAAGCTGCCATTAGTGGAAGGAAAGCCTCTGGCAGAGATGCACTGTGGAACAAGGGGACTTACTCATCTCGACTGGGCATAGACGGGCCTGGCTGCAGAAGCATTAAGAGGAGGGAAGGGCGGCACAGGGGAGGGAAGGGCAGCAGAGATGCTTTGTTAAGAGAAGCTAGTTTGGCAGAAAGTCAGGCATGTTTCAAGAGAAAAGCTAGCACGTAACCCCGTTCTGGGTCAGCTGCCAGTGACCAGGGTGCTCTTGGTATATGCTGGGCAGCCTGAGAGAATGGGACACCAGTGCGAACAAGATGTTTAGTTGTCATAGTATACTCCCTGTTTTAAAAAGAAAATCTCATTCTCTAGTTTCAGCAATTTCCCCTGCAGGAATTTTATTAGAATGGGTTGCTATGGATTACCTGCAAACCCTAAATTCATGCTTCCAAACCTGAAATCGGGCCTTTAAACATTTCCCAGTACCAAATTAAGTATGCTGCTCATAGTGATTTAATACAAATCACTTCCTTTGGCTGAGCTTTGAACAGTGACTGTGTTTACCAGCTGAACAACTGATCTAGAACCAAAACCAGACATTTATTCTCAACAACTCACTGAAGCCAACAGGTTCTATGATTTTGTTCCATTATCACAGCAAAGATTGGGAAACTCAAAGATAAGTGAACGGGACATTTACTGCTAGAGGCAATTAGAAATAAGGATCATTGAGCTCCTAAGGATTTCAGATGTTTTAACTGGGTTTTTGGGTGAAGGCAGGGGAGGGGATTCTTTTTCTAAGCCATGGAGTATTGCAGTACCTCCTTTTTTGGTTTAAATATGTTCTCAAGCACTACAAAAAGGCTTTGATGTGAACATCCAGTTTATTTTATACAGATTTGGGACCTGTCTGTCTTTTCCAGTGTCACCTGTTTTGACTGTGGCTACATTTGAGTTGATGGGTAAAGATAAGTTAAATATTTTTCCATTTATATAACAAACACCTGAGTTTTTTCCTCAGCATGCAACCAAACCAATCTTGTCCCATTCAAAAGATCCCTGTGAAGTTTTCAGAGGTAGAAACAGCAATTTATTGTCTATATGCCTTTGAAAATGTTTTATTAAGTACCTGGTAAATACAGGTAAGACCTCCCTGGGTAGTACTTAGGTTTAAGCAGCCCATTAAGTTTTCAAGTTTCATATTTAAGCAAATAATGGAGTAAACAGCACAGGTATTTAAAACACTAATTTGAAAGCACCACCCATTTAAATATAGCTGTAGAAATTAAGTTTTGTTAGGACCACCTGCTTGCTTTTAATATCTGAAAAATTCCCTAGTGGACCCAAAATCATTAGAGAGGAATGACAGGCATTAGCTGTGCACATAAAGTGTGCGCCGGTTGTGTTTTTTCCATGTTAACGTTTGAAGACAATACTTATAGACAACACAAGAGGGAGTGGGGAGCCAGTAACTCCTCCTCACTACTCAGAGTAACAACTCAAGGAGCTCTTTTGGTGGTAGTATTCAACGTGTGTGGTATCTAGAACTGAACACACTGGATGTTGGCCTTCCAAGCAGGCGGTGCACATCACCTATAAACAACTGACGTTCATAGTAACAGCCCACGAAGGGAAACATTTTAAAGAATGGCACCTGAATGCTAGGTGACATCTGGATATGATGTTTTCTGCAACTTTTTATCCTGTCTTCAAAATTAAACGTAACAGTAAGAGGTGTCCCTAAAGGGAATATATGATCACGATGCTAGCAGCTTGAGTTTACAGACTGAAATATCTCAAATTCTTAGCTTGTCTAAATCACTCTCATGTATTCCCCCTTTCCCATTATGCATACCAGTGATTCTTAAAATCAGTGTAGTATGGTTTACCAATAGCATTTCCTGCTCAGAATTATAATCTAAACATAAGAATCTACATCTGATTAACCCACTTCAGAAGTTACACACAAAACTACAGTAGTAAAGGCCAGGCATGCCTGGAAGAAGTTTTTTTTTTTTAGGAAGAATTTTCTGATGCCCAGCAGTATAATTAGGATGAGTTAATGACTTAAAAACAGTCATCCAAATGCATTTGCTGTCTCAGAAGGCTGCCAGCTGTTGAGCACTGAGTGATACTCCCTGGCTTCCACCCTGTCTCTTATGCTCTTTACCTAAGCATCTGAAACCAAATGCTGTTCCCAGTGGGAGCATATGAATATCATTATGCTGGGCATGGGTAAACAGAACATACTAAATCATGCTCAGAGGTAGGCTGGGTGTCTTTCTTCAGCCTCCTCAAACAAAAATACCCAGGAAAGCTCACAGGCCCAGTGACCACCTCTGGAGTGCCAAAATTAATAAAAGACCACCTAAAGGCTACCTCTCACAAACCTAACTAGACTGTAACAGCGGGCAGGGAAACCATCACCTCCTACTCTGAGGGTTCCCAAACCAGTGACATTTACTCATACTCATCATAGTAAGAACATAGTCATCCTGGACACTTGCCAGGAACAAAGTCTGCAGGATTCTGCAGTGCCTGCCCACAAAAACAAGATGAGGAAGTGGGACTCTTACAATGCTCAAAGGAGGAGGTCCATCCTATCAGAACCACAATCAGACTTGGTCTCTAAAAACCACATCTTGATTCTCAGATGCTGAAGAATTCTGAGAAGAGGTGTCTCAGAAAGGATGCAAAAGCTGCTGGTTGATTTGAAAGAAGGTAGTCGGCAGAATACTCCATGCTTTTTTTGAAGTCCTCTCCGCAGGGACTAAAAATCTGAAAGCACAGACTAGCTACAGATGCAGACTGCGTTCTATTTTCTGAGAAAAAATTCTGGAGATCCAGGATTTTCCACTAAATTCAGAGCAGGTCATGGAGGCATACAAAGGGTGTTGAAGCAGGACCAGAATATGGAGAGGAGTGGCTTAATATCAGTATCCTTCAACAAAAATAAAGACAGAAAGGCCTGTCAACCTCTGCTGTTGAGCTGGCACCACACCTTCCAGCAGAAGCCAACTGGCTGGTAGGAAAGAATTAGTGACAGAAAAGCTGGCATTAAACAGAGCAACAGACTTGCAACTTGCTGGATGGCATGGCACAGAAGCAGAAAGAACCATACCTATCACTTGCACTCAACCACTAATCTACAGTGTTGACCCAGGCAGGTATTTGCAAGCTCTACCTATTCCAAGTCTTCCCAAGCAGAGACCATGAGGAGCTCATTGTCGTTATTTACCATTAGGACCACTGAATTCTGATTCTCTTAACATCAAAATCAGTTTCATCTTCCTCCCACAAAGGAAACACAGCTGTTGATGGAAAGGCCAAAGATGACAGGACTGCAGGAGTCCCGACACACTACTGAGCTCAAGGTGATAGATGGGAACAGGACCTAGTTTAGCTTGACAGAACTCTTCAGTACTCTACAGTGCCTATAAAACATGATCCAGAGCCAAACATCCATGGGATAACCACAAAATAGCAAATGTATAAACTGTGAAATGCTTTCTTCCAGCTGGACAAATTATAGAATCTGAGTCCTTCTCCCTTACCTGAACACAGGTTACTGAAGATGCATCAACCATGAGATACTATGGATTTAGGCTGCGAGAATTACACGGCTTGGCAAGGACCCAAGCTGCTTTGAGCCACCTTTATTATATGACGATGTAATAAAGATCATGAGACCAAGAGGTCAACAAGCTCTCCTATACAAGTTCTTATGGCTCTGTTGCCAAGGGTCCTGGCACAGTTAGTAGTAAGACACATTCTAGCATGGGTCAGGCTGTGTCAGGGGGTAATCACGTTGGTCAAGGCTGAGAAACACCCTCAGCCTGTGCAGAGAGGGTATATGAAGTCATGTGAGCTGCAGTGCCGCTAGTTAAGCCACAAAGATGATGCATTATCCAGATAATAAAGAGAAAAGGCAACAGACAAATCTGAGGATAGTGTGGCCACTTTGGAGAAGAGAGGAAGAAGTTACAGATTCCTTTTTCTCTCTGGCAGAAGAGTGTGTGATGTGGCAAGGTAAAAACTACATACGGAGACCTCATGACAAGGTGGAGGGCAAATTAAAAGGGAAATCGAGCAAAGACGTGTTTAGGGTGGGAAAAGCCACTGAACAGCATCAGGCAAGGCTAGAAGACTACAAACAGCAGCAACAACAGTTGAAAGGGACTGTGAAACTGAAGGACAAAGAAAGCATACCATGCTGTAAAAGCAGCGATAGGAAGGAGTAAGAGCTAATGAAGGCTTTGCCAGGGACAGGGGTCAGGAAAATAAACACACTGAAAAACAGCAGGGGGTCTAGTTGCCATTGCAAGAGGAAAAGACAAGGAGAACAGGAAAAGAAGAGAATCTGTCTGCTGCAGAGACAGCATTTGCTTGTTGGGGAGAGCGAAGAAGCAACTCTGTTCTGTATGCTGCAAGAAAGAGAAGGCTCCATCCCTCAAAGGTTTTGACACACAACAAGATCATCCTGCTTCCGACAGAGACATGGAAGCAGTCCGTTCAAAATGCTCTCTCCGTCTGGTGTAGACTTGTCCAACAGGAAAGTGCTGGCTACAGTATCTGGGCTAATGTCATCCTACAGGTTGGGATGTGATGGCTCCTCTTCCTACATGTCATTGACCAAGCCAGAAAAACAAACAAATAATTCCTAAACATAGGACCTGCTCTTTCTCTCTTCTCTTTCTCTAAGTAGGCAGCAGGATCTCCCCGGTCTCACAGCAGCCAGCAGAAGCTGTATAGCCAGCTGGCAGGCAGGCAGCAGTGCATGCCCATGAGAAGTACCAAGTGACAGTTGCTCTTCTGCTGGCCACTGTCAGGGATAACCTACAGACAGGCAGACTTAAGCTCTGACTTCAGATAGCAGTTGTTATTCCCATGAAGCTAAAGAATGGAAGCTCTCATGGCCCATCATTGTATCCCTTTTATGGAATTTCCCACAACAGCAGGATCAGGCACACATTACTACTCTGACCAGCGTAGTCAGTGTTCCCCTGCTTCCTTGCAGAAGCAAATTACACTGCATCAACAAAGCCCCGTAACATTCAGGCTTTTGAACTGCCTTTGAATTTACATCAAGGAGTTATCCCCAGAAGAACCCAGCTTTGCTATACTTCAGTTTAGATTCAGTTCCTACCTGCAGCCAGGGATGCTCTAAGGCTTCCTCTGTTGAAAGACGTTTGCTTGGATCCACTACTAACAGCTTCTTCACAAGATCCAGAGCTAAGATAGTAAAAAGAGTTGGTTGGCACATAATCAATAAATTCATCACCAGAAAATTAAGTTTTACAATATGCATACATCAGAGCTATGTGCAACAAAGTGTATTCAGAACAATGCCCAAAAATAGTGGCTGGGCAGATCACTTTTCTTTTTTCTATGCATAGGGAGGGCTGCAGACTGTAACCGCTTCTCCTTCATGTGCACGACTCAACACTTTTCAGTATGCCAAAATTACCAATAGATATACTGAGCATGTCCACAATTTATGTTCTGAGCATGCACAGGAAGTTCAGCACTTTCCTAAAAACTTCGGTATTACTGTGGACAAACAAAGACAGCTTAATTTAGTTTCCTGGTTTATGCTGTCTTGGAAAGCAGATTATCTGTCTGGGAAGACGGAAAAGAAGAGACAAAACATACACATGTATGCTCAACATAATCACATGACCTTTATTTTCTTAGAAAACAGCTTAATAGACACTGTGAAGGATATGGCATTTATGTCTTATTTTATGACTCCGAGTCTTCCATAAAGGAATTTTGAAAAAAATCTACTTTTTGTTGTATCTGATTATTCGGTTATACAGTTAGGACTACATACGACCTGAACATAATTTCCCTTCTCACGCATGTCTGACATTATTGAATAAGCTTCAAGTAATTCAGGAAGGAGTTAATTTGGTAAGTTTGTTAGAAAACGAATGATCACACCATTTATTAGAAAATTCTCTGCACATACAAAGGAGTATCCAAGGCAAATACTGCAATTATTTTGTGCATATTAAATGTTCTGAAGAAGAAGAGCATGCAGAGAGTAACTATCATATTAGTTTTGCAGTCTACTTCTAGCACCATGAAATTACTCTTAACATTCCTATCTTGGAATTCTAACTCATATCCCTTTAATTCCTGGCATTTTTGGTTTAACACGTGAAGAATCTTTGAGCAAGGCAAAGTCTGTAGACCAGCTTGATAAAGGCAGAAGAAAAAGTGAAAAAGGAAACATCGACGTATCTGCCCATAAACTCTATACTTCAGTGGCTAACAAAGCTAAATATTACTAAGAAATCTCTTCAATTAAAATGTATCTGCTCTTCCTAATGCTTCATCTTTGAACTTAAAAAAAAATAAAATTTTTAAGAGACTACTTTAAAAACTAAACATATCAACATTCAATGTGCCATACAGCCAAAAGGAAGTTAAACAAAAACTACAAGAAAAGAGCTAGATATTCTGCTGCCCACTGTAGCGAGTCCTACCTGTGTCCGATACATGCTTCCATTCCTTGGGAATGAACGTGTATTCTCCACGAGTGATTTGATCTTTCAGAGATAGTTGAGTATTTTGCTCATTAAATGGTGGATAACCACACAAGCTGGATAAAAGAAAACAAGTTAAATAACACAGATTTTGTCATAGCAAATGAAACACTAAAATGACACATTTTAAAGCATCTGCTATCATAGCGTCTTTTACACGTACATAGTTTTGAACACACTTTCACTTCCTGATAAAGATACTGAAGTCGCCAAGTCTCGAGCCATGTATGTCAATGACTGCCCAATGAAGGTAGCATCTACACAGTATCTTACCATACAAAAAGAATAACTCCTAAACTCCAGCAGTCCACAGCACGGCTGTATCCAGCAGTCCCAAGTGAATTTAGAACCTCAGGAGCAAGATACGTGGGAGTACCACATAATGTTTTCATAAGAGAAGTTTCTCCAAGAATCTTGGATTGTCCAAAATCTGTAATCTTGTATTTAAAAATGGTAACACCACATTATACATTAGGATTGACTGTACTAGAACATACCATATTGTCAACGTACATCAGGAGGTAACATTAAATTTCTTCTTTCCAAGTCAGTTCCAGTACATGACTATGAACAAAATTTACCCCAAACATTATTAAGTATTCAGTAAACAACAACTGAGGACAGGAGAGGAGGAACAGGGAGAAATATGACAGAGGATCACACTTTACCCTAGCAAAAAGTACTCTCAGATTTGGATGTAAGTGGACAACCACAGAATAAAGGACTTGTAGCTTATTAGAAGAGATTGCTTGAAAAAATAAGCCATCTAGCATGCAAATCTATTCAATGCTTCATCTGGGAGGGGGGAACCTCACCCCCAAAAAGCACCCCCCCCCCCCCCCCCCCCAACAAC